CGGCAATGCCACCCGAATTGGCCGATTTGCTAATTATCTTCGGAACCTCCTCCCCTCTAATGATCCAGTTGTCATGGAAATGGCATCCAAGGCCATTGGTCGCCTTGCCATGGCAGGAGACACTTTTACTGCTGAGTATGTGGAGTTTGAGGTGAAGCGAGCCCTGGAATGGCTAGGTGCTGACCGCAACGAGGGCCGGAGACACGCAGCTGTGAGTGCCCACCCGCAGGAGGAGCACGGCCAGGCCTCGGGAGTGATGGCACTGTCGGGGTCCTTCACGCACTGTGCTCAAGTCCCTGAAAGAGAGGGGACGCTCTAGGCAAAGGCGCTGTGCCTCTTGGTGTCCTTAGGTTCTATCCTGAATCCCTTTCTCTCTTCACCCTGAGCTCCGTGCCTAAAGAGGAAACTTAAAAGCTCTCTTTTGTTGCTTGAGAGGCAGCCCTAAGTGTCGTATTTATCCTGACCCCTGATTTTCTAGAATCAAAATTGCACCCTAAGCAGAAGGTATCCTTCAGAAGCCCCTGACAGTTCTACTATCTGCACGATCCCCTTGGTGTCTTTGTCAAGATCTCTGCATATACGGTGGGAATATGGAAGAACTAGGATCTAGAGAGGAGCAGGGGAAGTAGGTACTTTCACTGCCTGCAGTGGGAGAGTCGGTCAGCCTTTCCTGTTTATTTTTTAGACATGCGTTCATTGGTTGGTACCTAGCCCAAACTTCCTCTTTCCTCATTGGCTGTTCTGCATTTGGGGGAGTGGTGGGCCTTTATCCTAATCTGCTGGCACATCCTCACTGCTTTTCAAGGCTCATCCCTGAAAAAGGCCTGTTTGATGGGCTAAGATTGCAGGCTGTGAGTCTTGTGTTTTAAGAGAGAGAATTTGGGCATGCGTGNCAAAGGACCTGAGGCAGGAGCGTGCCTGGCCCAGAACCAGCCAGGAGGGCAGTGTGGCTGGGGCACAGTGAGCAGGAGAAAAGAAGGGCAGGGCAGAGTTGGGGGAGGGGAGAAGACGGGCAGATAACGACCCTGGGGATCAATGTAAAGACTGACCTTTACTCTGAACGAGATGGAAGTCACTGGAGAATTCTGAGCAGAGACTGAAGGGGTTGCCTTATGTTTAAACAGGATTACTCTGCCTGCCGGTTTGGGAGCACACCCTGAAAGGGACAGGGGTGGGTGCAGAGATCAGTAAAGAACCCGCCACAATAATTGAGGGAGATGAGAGTGGCAGTGGTGGGAGGTGGTGAGAAGTGGTAGGGTCACAAATGCATTTCGAAAGTAGAGCCCACAGGGTTTGCTGATGGGCTGGAAGCGAGATGTGAGAAACAAGAGTCAGGAGGATGCCCCTGATTTTCAGCCTGAAGAACTAGGAGGAAGCTGCCACTGAGTAAGATGGGGAAAGCTTTGGGGAGAGCAAGTTTCTTTGAGAAGATCAGGAATTTGGTTTCAGACATGTTAAGCTCGAGATGTCTGGAGACCTCTAAGAGAAGTTAGTAAGTAAGAAGCTGAATGTGAGTCTGGACTTTAGTGGAGAGATCTGGGCCGGATGTATACATTTGAGGGGCACCAGCTCAATAGGTAGCATCTAAAGCAGCGGTTCTCAACCTTCCTAATGCCACGACCCCTTAATACAGTTCCTCATGTTGTGGTGACTCCCAACCATAAAATGATTTTCGTTGCTACTCTATAACTAATTTTGCTAGTTATGAATCGTAATGTAAATATCTTTTTGTTTTCCAATGGTCTTAGGCGACCCCTGTGAAAGGGTCGTTTGACCCCCAAAGGGGTCGCGACCCACAGGTTGAGAACCGCTGATCTAAAGCCACAAGACTGGCGAAAATGATGAAGGGAGGAAATGGAGACACAGGAAAGAGGTCCAAGGACTGAGCTGCAGGTTGGAAGTGAGGAGGAATCAGCAGAGGAAATTGAGGCCATGGAAGACCAGCATGGTCTGGTCCCTGCCTACCTCTCCAACTGTATTTCCACTCTCCCGCTTGAGCACACTGGCCTTTTGGTAGATTCTAGAAGATGCCAAACTGTCCCCCTCTCAAATGCTTTGGCATTTGCTGTTCCTTCAGCCCTGAAGGATTCGGCACCTGAATCAGATCCCAATTCTGCCCCATGGCTGGCTCCTTATCCTT